TGATTTTGATGAGGATGGATGTTCTTGGTTGTTGAATGTGCTTTAACGAGCGAGCTGTATTTTCGTAGACTTCAATTGCAATGCTACTCGAAGGGCTAAGTACATTTGGTTAATTCTTTTCTGGATTGCTAATTTCGTATGCTCAGCCATAGATCGAGTCACTGTGTTCTGTTCCGACAAATTGGCCTTAGAGTTTTCAAATATGTGTAGTCTGGTTCTTGGAATAACTGAAGCTCACTAAATTTAAGGAGCTTCAAATGATCTTACATCTTATTTAGAATATAAATTAGCATTTTTCAGGTTAATCAGTAAGAGATATAAAGTTGGTATATACCCAATTTTCCCTAGCTCAGGGGTTAGAGCATGCACTATCAATCACAGCTGCAGAAGAAAAAAATAAAAAGACTGAATTTCTCCATTAATTTTACAACTTGCTTGTTAAAAAAAATAACTTTGTCGACAGCTTTTTAAATTGTATATTGAGCTTCTTAAACATTCATTAGGCAACTTCGTGTCAGTAAAGGCCTCTGACTATGAGCCAGCTGCATTACATCTAATGGGCTGGCTTAGCAAAATCTTCAAGGGTTCAAATCATAGTGTTCAAGAGGAGAGATATGAAGCTGAAGCTGATACTGTGGAAAACCTTCCTTCTACATCTTTGGTAAGCATATGCATATTTTATTTTTTATTTTTTTGCTTAATTGTATTCGATTTTTCATGATGGGCTTATTAGTAAGTGTGAAGTTATAGCAGCTGCCTTAGATTCTTTTATACTTTCCCTTGATTTTTTTTTTTTCTTTTTATAGCATGTAGAATAGGTTTTGAGCCATTTTAGTTGGTATCTTGAGAGGATAAGGTGAATACAATTTCATAGATGGAGTGACTTGTACATTGCACCAAATTGCATATATACCTGCTTATTATTTTTCTCAATGGGAATCTTATTTATGAAAGGAATGATGTCTTTAGGATGATTCGTGGCCGGAGATTGAAGACATAGACCATGCTATTGCTTTGTCGCTTTCGGAAGAAGAGCAGAAAAGAAACAGTGTGAATGGTAAGTCCATTAGTGAACGATTTTTTATTCTATTCCATAAAACCTGAGTTTATTTTCCTTTTTAAGATTTGTTCGTCTAGTAGACTTCTCCACAAACTTACTTATTATTCTTCACAGTTCTCGAGTGCAATTATTTGCTTGCATATGCATTGGCCCTTGATAAATTTCATAATTTTTCTTTTTTAATTATTGTGCCCGTACGTTGTATTTTTTTTCTTTGTTTTTGGTCAGCAAATACCTATTTTGCAATGTTTTACGATGATGTAATTTATTTAATGCTAGTTTATTAACGAATAACTTTATATGTACGGATAGACAGTGAACAGCATATAGAAGAAGACGAACAACTTGCCAGGGCCCTTCAGGAGAGTTTGAGTGTCGAGTCTCCACCCGAATCACTGAGTCAAAATGACAGTTTTACTGGAAATGGATATGAGAATGGATATGGATATGAAAATGAGAGCCTTTACCAGCCTATATATTTTCCTCATACAGTAGTAGGCTTCAGGTAAATTAAATCTTTATGGTATTAAATATAATTTTGAAGTTTGTAGGTATAAAAAGGTACGGAAGATCATACTTTCGTCTTAATTTTAGTTATATAACTAGTACTCGATCATGTGCACGTGCACAATGACAAACAAAAATTTATCTATTAAATGTATGCAATTAAATTTAAATTAAATAATGTGTGTCACATTTTAAAATTTTGAGTATTAATAAATGAAGTATATAAATATAAATTATTAACTTATGTTATATTGACGACATAAAATGTAATGGATACATTGTAATTTAGAGGGACAATAACCAATCAATTAATCAGAAAAATATTACTTTTACTTTTATTATTTTTGTAGCAATTGTTTATGTGATTTTAAGTGTTCTGGTTATGCCACTAAACCAATTAACTAATATTACAGAAAAATGCACAATGAGATGAATACAATAATAATATATATTGTAGAATAAATATCTTCAATAAAAAAAAAATTGCTATATAATTTTTCATATGTAACTTTCACATGCGATCTAATGTAAATTTATAACTAGTTAGTATAAGTAGTTACTATTATATAATAAAATAAACTTAATTAATGTAAGATGTAACGGTTTTCTTCTATATTAATTGAAGAAATGAGCGAAAATTTTTTATGATTTGCATTAATTGGATAACCTACAATTATATATTTATAGATTAAACTCTTCTTCATTCTTACTTACATCTGTTGTGGTAGGATTTGTGCTGGTTGTAACATGGAAATTGGCCATGGAAGATTTTTAAGTTGTCTCAATGCTGTCTGGCATCCAGAATGTTTTAGATGCCATGGATGCAGACAACCTATTTCCGATTACGAGGTACGGTGATTTTGTTCACGAAAGTTTGCTAAATAACTTATAGATTGTTATCATGTGAAGGTATTCAAGTGGTCTGTAAAATTTATAATAAGATCGTAAGTCTGAATCATGAAATTTAAAATAACTAAACCTTTTGCAATTTAGAAACGTCAATCGTAAAAGTGAATATATGGTTTAGAAACGTATTTTGACATGAGGAGGATTGCCTGAAAATTCTGAATCATGTTCGCTTAGTAATAAAGACCTATTATTTTCCTATACTAAATACACCAGTGGTACATGTTTAAATGTGTAAAGAGTTTGCATGCGTACATTGTTAAATTAAATAATCAAAAAGTCGAAAATTTCAAACTGCAGTTTTCCATGTCCGGGAGCTACCCGTATCACAAGACTTGCTACAAGGAGTCATATCATCCAAAATGTGATATCTGCAGTCATTTTGTAAGTATCTCTTTGTTCAGACAATCTGTTCACATGTCTCTTACATTATCTCACATATCATTGTTTTATCTTGTGAAAACTCTGCAAATGCTAACTGTGGAATGGAGGAATAATATCTTGTGACATGATAACTATGACCGTTTAAACATTTGCACCCATCACTGAAAGCGTAATTTTATTTTTCTTTGTACTTTGTTTTTGTTCCTTTGAGAAGGTTTAATTCTGATTTAATTTTCTCCCAAACCCCCACAGATTCCTACAAATGCAGCTGGCCTAATCGAATATAGGGCTCATCCTTTTTGGTCCCAAAAGTATTGTCCGAGCCACGAACATGATGGTACTGCTAGATGCTGTAGTTGTGAGAGAATGGAGGCAAGTTTTTGACTTTTGTCTCTAACCATTTAACCTCAACACAAATTTGCTTAATCATTTTTTTTTTTTTGCTTTTTTGCAGTCATGGGACGCGAGATTCGCGGCACTTAACGATGGTCGAAAGCTCTGTTTCGAGTGCCTGGACTCGTCAATTATGGACACTGATGAGTGCCAGCCGCTTTTTCTTGATATACAAGAGTTCTTCGAAGGGTTGAACATGAGAATTACCCAGCAAGTTCCGTTGCTTTTAGTCGAGAGGCAGGCATTGAATGAGGCTATGGATGGAGAGAGACATGTTCGTAACTTCCATTTTATGTTACCTATCAAGTTACCCCAACTTTTCATATTTAAAAAAAATAT